AAAATTACACGGCTAATTCTCGAATGACTTCTACCTGATGGTAAGACGGGGATGATCTGTTTAAGGGTCGCTTACAAAAGATGGGGGCGGTAAAAGGATCATCGGGGTAAGTCAAACGGGCTCGCCGGTTCCCGGTAAAAAAGATTTACGCCACAAAAAGGTGATTATTTGTTGGTGGGTTTTTCTCTTGTGTTCGACAACGAAGATTTTCGGTGTAAATCTTCCGGCGCAAACAAAATATACGACATGTTTAAAGACTTTTGTTGTTTATTCGAAAGGGTAACTTTCAGAAACTGTCGACAACTTTTGTAATGCTTTTACCTATAGAATATTAGTTTTAAATGAGACGTTTTTTAACAAGGCATTTTATAATATTATTATTGCCTTAACTAATCATTCAATCATTTCCACAGTCCATCAGAAATTGGATAGAATTTGTGATGAAATTCTATGGCTCGTCTAGTAAATTTTTTGGTATAGGATAATATTTCCCATTATGGTTTAAATATCCGGCAAATTTTCGCACCTTTTTCCCCGCGACCAAGCGAAGTTTCCCGCTGACGTAGTCGGGTAAAAATCAATTTCCCGGGATTCCCCTATCACCTCCGTCCAATCAGACGCATCTCCGAAGAAAAACGCCGCCAGCGATGGCCGGATGTCGCCGGTGCTTGTTTTAATTTCCACGGAGGAAAAGCCGAAGGGAGGCTTCGAAAGAGGATTGATGGCGCGATCGATGAATTATTCGGAAAAGAATCCATCGCGTATACATCCCTCTTAGATGCTAATCGTCGGAATGGCTTCTTCACCAGGTGCGACTCCCAAACTATTTTAATTGGGTATTCGGCCGATTGGGTAGTCCACCCCAGACGCCCCTCTATACACCGAATTCTCGCAGACGGAACGTCGCTTAATGAACGGTTCCACGACGGGGGGGCGGTTACGAAATTATTTAATTTTAAATTGGGTCCGCGCGCAAACTGGAATTATCGGAAAAAAGCAACATATATAACTCAAACGGTAATTTGATTAGGATTGTTATTTATGGGGTGGAAGTTCCGAACGGAATAAATTAGCGCTCGGTTCATTCATAAATTGAACCCTTCCAAAATGAAAATGTGAATTAGTTTATAAAATGATGCGCCCATATACCTACCTGACTGTAGGAGTATTTAACTGCAGATAATAGGTACGTGTAGGTATAGGACATCCCGTGCAAGAATTCCTACTAGCAATCTGTTTTCCATCAGTAATTAATTGCCATTTACAGTTCGACAGGGAGTATAACAAAAGCACCAAGATATGCGTGAATTGCGCCAAATTTGATGGCGCTTCGATTAATATAGAGACAATACAATAATTATTATAAATATTCGATTAATTAACCTTTTTTAAACGAGTAGGGTACCTATAGTTATGTATTTTTGCTATACAGATTGTTGAAAATTACGGATGATTACAGAGGTAAGTATTTTTGTATTTTACAAGTCTTTTTATATGTAATGTAATTTAATAATTAAAATGCTATAGTTAAATTGGATCAAATTACAGTGTAAGCGTATAGAGGAATCTACTGATACACCTATCCATATTTTCCCAACATCTCCTGCAAATGAAAGAATGTACAGAGAATGTATACAGAGTGTGTGAAAGCGAGATAGGGGAGAAATCGTATTCTAAAAATAAACGGGGGGCAGCCGGTTGGGGGGGGGGAAGAGGGGGTCCGACGAAAACGTCCCTCAAGAAAAAAGTTCATTAATTTTTCGACCGGCCCGGAATAACTAATCGAGGTAGGTGTACCTTTTTCGGTGCGCCCGAAAAACAGATGAACGCGCTGCTCTATACCACGGCCGAAAACGGATGAACGGTGAAACAGAAAGTAGGCGTGGCGCGTGTGTAGCCCGAACTATGAATGATTATCTCGAAAAGTTATTAACTTTTTGTTTTTTTCGGGCCCCGGCTTTTTTCTCTCTATCCTCGTTTTGTTTTTCTCGAAGCTATGAATACGAAATCGGGGCCGCGCCGTCGTAAAAAAACCTATACAAGGGTTGCAGATGAACATGGGACGTATATAAAAAAAATTAAAATTTTGTAATTACTTTTCGATTATTAGTAGTATAACTATTCATTTAATTAAAGTTACCATTGTAGATATTATAGAAGATATCTATGAATTTATATGTTTATAAGATGCAAACATTCTCTTTAGAACTCAAAATTATCTATATTTTATCTCTAAATTAAAGAAATTTCAATTCACATTAAATATCTTTTTTATGAATTATATTAGGTACCTTAGATATTAACTACACAAATAAGAATTATTCGTATAATAACATATAAAAAGTGCTTTTTATTTCCTCATTTCTTCTGATGCATATAGATAAATCAAATAGGTATACATAGATACACCTATATTAATAATTATTTATACATTTTTAACAATAAATTAAAAATGTGGGATTTATATATAATCGAGTTTAAACAATTTTTCACAAAATCATGTCACCTGTGCGTTTCACCTACGACATGGGATAGATAACATATTGGGTCGACCCGAGAACCGCAATAATATTAATGACCCACCTAATTATAAGTTTGCCATCGAACCGTCTATTATATAGAAGCAGAGGCGGAGATGCCCGGGAGGAACGTTGCCCCATGTACATTAGGAACGGTAACCGTTTATTTTAATTCGGAATTTTTAATCGAATCATTGACGTGCGCTTATAATAAATAATAGAACTTTTTATTTATATGCCTGTGGAGGTTTTTAAAAATGCTCCGTACATACTATAGGTTACTTATACAAGAAATTGTGTAATATACATTTGTTGAGAGACATAAATTAAAACAATACAGGGTGTTCCAATGAAAAGTAGCCCCTTTAATGAGCTTGTAATTTGTAAACGCATGCATAATCGTAAAAACATGCGGTTTTCTCAGATATGTTTTATTTTATTGTAAGTTTTGTTACAGTGATACAGAATTTATGCATCACCAACACAGGGGGTTTTATCAAAATCTCCTGTTTTAAATACACAGTAACCATTTTTTTTTAATGGACTAAACTCCGTATATGTAGAGATATTTTGAAAGATATACTCTTCTACTTTTTAAAAATGTGTTATTTGTAGATACATGTTATTGTACAAAAGAAGATGTCTTATATCATAAAATTTAGTTAATGTGAATTTAAAAGAGGTGGATTTTTGAAACACCATGTACAGACGATACAAAATTTTTGTGTCACTGTAATAAAAAGTTATAGCAAAATAATATATATCTGATAAAATCGCACGTTTTTATGATTAGGCGTTTAAAAATTATTAGCTCATTAAAGGGGCTACTTTTCATTGGGACACCCTATATTTAAGTATAGATTTTTACGAGGCGCTTCAGAGATGGTTTTTCATATTCGATCAAATTCTCGTTATAAAAAATATAAGCATCTGATCTAAAATATGCCCGGTTTTGTCGTCGAAATTTTCGAAACTCCAACTGCATCAGGGAGATGCCGAAGATAAGAACAAAGTTCGACTCGGAAGTTTCGGAAGTCGAAGTTGGAAAGTTTAACTTTGCGAGAGCTCCAGGATTAGGCTATTTATTTCGAAGCACTCTTTTCATTAAACTTTTGAATTTTAAATCGTCCGATTAGCATATTTGATATTTCGAATATGGGGAAACAAAACATTGTTTTTGTCTAGGTATTATTGAAATAATTTATAAATTTAATTGACGAAAGTGATGGGTATATGATAGTTTATCCAAAGTCAATTTTAAAAGATGTTTGAAGATATTAATTTAACCATATTATAATGTTATTGTTTGAAAGGAATAATTTGAATATAGGTAGATCATGCTGAGAACATAAAGTATTTTTGAAAATATTTTTCACGATATTCTTCATCCAGGAGGGCGATGATATGAGGTGCAGGAAAGATGAGTAAAAAATTTATATGTGGGACAATTCTCTATCTAAAAATATAAAAAATTCCTATACTATAAAAATTTTCCTTGCCTAATATAAAATACAACTTAAGGGAGGTGCAAGCCCTGAAGAGTGTGTTCCTGAAAATGGTTTCGTATCCTGAATCTAAATTTAATTTATTTTTCTCAAGCTATTCTAATAAATTTAGGACACATCACTGAGAATTGCAAGTTTTTATGCTTAATACCTCAAGTATACTCAATTGATTTCATGGTATAAAAAAACTCTATTAGGTAGGATTATGTAGGTAGGTAGGATATATGAATTATTTTAGACGAATCATTTTAAATCATATAATCTAATTATTATATTTACTCGTATATCTGTACAAATGTATAAAAACTTTTTAATTACCTATAACTAATTCATGCTGGTCATCTGATATATTCCTAATAATGCATCAATTCCCCAAAGAAATATTTATGTTGCTAAATAATGCATCAAATAAGTGAACCTTAAAAACAACAGGTGAAAAATCGTCAATACCTCTGCAAAAAAAACCCAAAAAAACCGCCCTACAGCTATCCCAAACAAACCCAAACATTTTTTCCTTCGCATATAAGTACATCCCAAAGCAACCGCCCCCGCCCCGCTCTACCTACACCTACCTACCTACCATCACCGACGGAGCGACGAAGAAAATTCCACCGCGAAAATAAAAATCGCCCATCATCGCCGCGTCGCCGTCGCGATCATCAACATCACCCCGACGTATGGAAGAGAAAACCGCCGTCGAAACGGTAGCCCCGTCGTCGGGGCGACCCCGGCCGCAAGCGACTCTCGACTCTCGCGCCGCCTTCCCCGAGCGGCCGGCCGGCCGCTATCGCTCCGCGCCCGATAAGGATCGCAATTGATGGCTACCAGGTAGAGGGCGGCGCGGCGACGGCCGGGCGTGCCGGCGGCGTCCCATTGGCCGGGCGGCCCGCGCTCGGCTGGTGGGGGCGAAAAAATCGATAGGGCGCCGGGTAGGGGGCGATCGGGACCGATCGGAACGGCCAGTTCACGCCAGCGACCGAGACTAGCGAGAGAGCGCGGCCCGAACGCGCACTGGGTCACACAAAAATTTTTACAATACTCACAACAAATATTGCTGAAACTGCATAGAAACACCATCCGGGGATTTACCGCAGGGATCCGTCGCGGCGCGGACGATTCGTTGATCGAGGAGTATTGTTTATCGTACGGCGGAATTCAGTGCGCATTGTGATATACTTCGTATATAAAATTATTTGTTCGGTTGTTGTTTTTTTTTTGAAATTTGTATTTGTGGAGTGGAGTGTTCGTAATTCGTTGCCAATCTGGCGGCGTACCTCGAAGGTGGGCCCGCAATCGCCCCCGTGGGGACGCTGACGCTGAGGGCCGGATTGGCCCATGTGCCCGTCGGGCCCAATTCCGGCTATTTGCATTCGACGCACAATATAGGTCAGTTTTCATCTACTATACCACATGTATACACTGTTGGAAATTTAATTTTGCATAATAGGGAAATCAATGTTAAATTCTTAGCCGGCTAAAATCCAGTCTACCAGTATACCTTTCAATAGAACGTCGCGATGAATTCTAATAAATTTAATTGTTCTACTGGACCGCACGCCGCGATTTGTAGAGGTACAAAGTTATTTGTGTTAGGTATGAGGTACAAAATTATTTAGAAACTACAATTAATAGGTCTTTTGGGGATATTTCAAAAAAATGTGTGTATCGGTAGGTAAAGTTTTGAAAGAGCAACAAATCTTGTTAAAATAAGGAAAAATAAGGAAAAAATAATTCAATTTTCTACTAAAATTACACCTCAGCTCAGTAATATGAGATGACATCTGTATGACAGGTTTGGCTATAGTTTAGCAGAAAGCGGTGGACTATTTTTTAGAGTTCTGTTTTAAAATAATATTTAAGTTTATTTTTGGAGTTTCCTTTTTATTATTTTCTTAGAATTTACTTTCTTTTTCAAGCCATTGAGGCAAAAAGACATATCTACATAATTCTATTTTATTATTAGTGATATTTTTTCAATAAATTATCGTTTAAAAATTCTCCTTTCTTTTTAATCGACTCGACGTTCACCCATCCGAACCCGTTTTGATACTGTCGAAGTGTCGAAACCGTCGAAATTATTTGATTTTTAATCAAACCAAGCCAAAGCGCGGTGTGAAGTCCAGTAGAACAATTAAATTTATTAGAATTTATCGCGACGTTCTATTTAAATGTACACTGGTAGACTGTATTTCAGCCGGCTAAGAATTTAACATTGATTTCCCTATTATGCGCGAATAATTTTCCAACAGTGTATACGTGTACTGTTGTTATTAAAAACAATACTAACAAAAGTATAATATTGTTCCTCAACTATACTTAATTTTGTTTGAAAACTTCTATAGTATATTTGACTTTAAAGCTTAATTATAATGCATGAATGTCACATGCAATGAGATAGCCCTGTACACATACAGGAAGATAAAAGGAGTTACCTGACTCATATAAGTATACGTTATATACTTATTTCATTAGCAATCAACATTTTCTAAATTCTAAATTCGAAAACTCTTATTTATCTCACTAATACCTACTTCCGTTCCAAATTGAGATTGTCTAATTCCCAGTGGGTTAACACTTTTCAAATTTTAACTATACACCTATAATACCGCGCCCAGTTTGTATTTTAAAAATTACCTGTCGAATTAAACTTTAGTTCGATTAAAAGCTTCAAATAATCAGTGATATACCTATAGGTATTTGTATACCTATATACACTGAGGAAAAAACTGTATTTTCTATTAGTAAATATTGCTTTGGAAGATATTTATTCATATTGAAACTGCTAGTGTATTCCATAATATAACTTACTAAATATGATAACAAGAAAAAATCTTGTTTAATAATAAATATATGTGTTGATTGTTGAATAATCTATTATAAACTACAAGTTAGATGATTTGCAATAAAACTATTTGGGTAATATATACTCAATCGTTACTAATAAAGGTGAAAAATTTTTAAATACATGATTGACATATTAAAAATATAAACATATGTTGTATTAAATATATTGTAATTCTGATAAGTAATTAATTAATTTAATATAAATTTATTATATTTAAAATTATCAATATTATAGAGAATAATAAATAATATTTATTGATTAATATCTAATATATGGACGTAGTCCGCTTAATTTCACTGGCTTTGTTGGCTATTGTTCTATTTGTTTTGATGGATGCTGTACCGTACGCCACGCCGTACTAACCGTACCGTTTCCCAAAATTCCTGCAACCATCAGGCCGGTCGCCGGTAGTAACATTTTTGTAGTGCAAGAATTTTGCTTGTATTTAATTGTTTGTTACATAATTGTGTAAAAGTGCTTCTGTAAAGGATACTACTATGCAGGTTAGTAATGAATTTGTTCTGATTGCATTATTTAATCACAACAACAAAAATGACAGGAACCGGAGCTCATGAGAGACTGAAAAACTAATTTGTGGAGGATTTAGGATTGGAAAGTTCAATTCCTTTATTTGTAAGTAAATATTAATTCTTAGCTTTTTTTATTTTTGTAACGGTTTTTATTTCATTGCAGTTAATTCAATCAAGAACATGGCAGAATTGGAGCTGCATGCTAGTTCACGACGAACAGTATTTCGAAGAAATTTGTCCAATCAGAGGAGAAAAATTTTGTCTTCTTGACCGAAGGAGAAATAATTAATTTGTAAGGTATTGCGTTTTTTCCTATTCTGAAATAAGTTTTCTTTTGGTTTTTGTTTAGGAAGACTGCATCTACTAGTTCTGCATCTACTTCACAAGACTTTCGACCCTTACCGTTCTCGACCCTTATTTTTGTTCTATTGTTCTTGTTAATGTACCTCAATTAATAACTTAAGTTCAATAAATATTTTCAAATACCTTTATTAAGCATTTTTCATTTGCAACAATTCTTATTTTCCCGTTTTATTTACAGGATGACTTGTATTTCTACTTTTATATTTTTGGGATAGTTTTCAGTAAAATCAGTTAAAACCGAAATTAGAACTGATTTTACTGAAACCTAACCTAAATATAAAAGTAGCAATACAAGTCATCCTGTATAAATGAACCTAATATAATTATTAGGTAAATACAATTGAGAGTTGATTAAAAATAAATTCAGGTTGGTTTTATAATAAATATTAGTGTATTTATTATTAATCTATCGAGTTCATAAAAAAACCTAGAAAAGTTTGTTAATAACCTGGTGTAGTTGTGTTGATATCATTAATAGTGGCAATAAATATATAAGTATTTTTATTTTTAATCAACATTTTATTTTAAGGAATACATCGTATATTACTAATTTAATAGTCAATTATTGGTTATATCCTAATAAAAATTGGTTATGTCGGATTCTGATTCTCTCATAGCTTAATTCTTAACCACATTGGTTACATATAACTCAACCTTTTTCTCAGTGTACCTACACGCTTTGACTTGTGAATTCTGTAGTTATCAGCAAGATAATGCAATAACATGATGTATTTTTCACCGAAGGCGAGTGAAAGGTTATACATTCTAATGTTCTACCATAATGTTTAACAAAAACTTAATCATCTATACCTACATAAAATACCGACGGATAAAATTATAAAAAATGGATTTTCTCAAATATTTACCTAGCACTCAATATTTTGTTAATTAATTACGCTTTAAACTTGTAGCTTAAATTGTGGTTTGTAAATTAATCATATAGTAACCTACAAAATAATAAAGTGCACTCAGAATATCCATCTGAAAATCATTAAATCTTATACAAAGTATAGACCAAGTTTCCACAATTTAAAATACCTATACTTTATACACAACAAACACAAGTTTATGCTATGTGGGTATAGGTAGTAATTCGAATGAATTTTCAAAAATAAACAAAGCGACGTTTAATTCTTCAAATAGCAAGTTTATTTTAAGTGTGCATTCTCCTCGTTCGCCATAAGCAAAATTTACGATCGAATGTTCGTTGAAATTTTGATGTTTTCGAATGAAAAACAAGAAATTGTCTTTCCGCAAAACTAATTAACGAATTTCCTATTAAAAATTGCTCGAAACTTGGTCAAATAGATCTTAAATATTGATAAACAATGCGGAATTAACGCGAGCATGCAGTGTACAAACATCAATTATAGTAATAGATTTACCTTTAGTCATTAGTAAAATTGTTCAATTTGTATAGAATTCATCAGGTAAAATAGAAGATTGGGGGATAACAGAGGTCAATGTTAATAATCTCTTTGAGTTCCTGATGGTAACACCAAAATTAGATTATAGATTTAGAAGTTTTTATTATAGAAAAATTGTAGGTAGGTACAATTTAATGTCTTCCAAATTTTGGTGTACCTTATAATAGTATACAGGGGTTACAGATGTAGAGGATGTATAAGTTCCTGAAGGGTATATCGGATCTCCTCGAGTTCGCGGTAAAGCCAACGATGCCGAGCATTCGTGTCAATAGCGTGAAAATTTTCCCTAATTTTTTGCTCCTCTATTTATTTACGATTCGTCGCACTTTTAATGGCCGGCTCAACGGAGCATCGAAACGGTGACGCTTCACGTGGTATCAAACCTAAAAATCGAAGATCGAGAGGAAAAAAATCGACGCGCTCGCGGCCGAACGGGTACCGTTCGATAAAATCGACGGACGAAAAAAAAATAGGACGATGACGAGCTCGAAAACCGCCGGAATCGGCTTTTCTCGACCATTTCCAAGCGACATTTATTAAGCCGTGGAATTCCGTTTAGTTACAGACCGATCGAATTACATGCGACCGAAGGATTTCCATCGTTGCGGCCGCGTTTTTTCGCTTTATCTGGCGGCTTTTTCCTCGAATTTTCGGCGGCCTGTTCAAACAATATTTTACGGGATGATCGCCGTGTCGACCTTAAAGAAATTTACTTCCAAGGCGCCCATTTTTTTTTAATTCTAATATTCCTCCGTCTTGTAGGTACTCGAACTTAAAAAATGCCTAAAATTTCATTCAGATACAAGCTACTATTGGGAGCATTTTTAAAGCACACATATTTGTACATCTCTATATAAGAAATTACAATAGGTTTATCTTTTGCACCACCTTGTATAGGTATATTCCTGCATTAATAAATGGCTTATACCATCAAGATATTTTACTGTCAATAATTTTATGTACCGTTTTCTAATAATAATGGACCGAAACCGAAAATCAAGCAACCTCTCACCAATCCATCTCGAACCGAGAATCGGCTTATGTGAAGAAAAAACGACAACATCAGCAACAACAACAACAACGGAGTTACCCGTAAAATTACGGTAATTTCCGTCGAGTACGTGACGCCAGCACTAGTTGCCGTAAATTTAGAGTTAACCCCGTATTTTGGCCGGTAATTCTATGAAATTAGTTTCGGTCAATTCGTACGAGGTTCGATCGAAATTATCGTAATGAGTGTCGCTCTTATGCCGAGCCTTATTCGAGAGAAAAAAAGAAACGGTTAGTAATTTTCTATAAAACGAATACATCAGAATAGAATAAAGATCGGATGCGAGTTTGAGAATGTACGAGGAATTAAGTAGAAAATGAGGGTATAAGAAATTTAAAGGATAAAGGACTGGGTACTGTATTGTAGGTTGTAGGTGATACTGCTATATAAGAAAAATAATTAAAAAATGCTTATAATCATAATGTCTAATTATACCAGATCGAAATTATTGATGGAGATTTATATTTAATAAAAAATCAGAATGTTGATGCTTATCTAAAACATCTAATGTTTCTTTTTTGTTCAAAAGAAATGTTCTCTTTATACACTCATGCACCCTGAATATTTAATCGCTTGTGACAATATTTATTATTTCCACGTTTTTAGAGTCGTGATTTTAATTAACTAGGTATCAGTAATATTCAGTAATATTAATAACTTATTTCAAAAATTTCAATTCAACTTCCATCGAACTATCCGGGCCAAAAATTCCTTTAGAAGAACAAGAATCGGAAAATATCATCATGGTAAACATTTTTCGTTAACTATTCGTTACTGGATCAGTAGAACACTTGCGTTTTCGGTTTTTAGTATATTTGAAATAGTTGCGGGGCCGTTACGACGCCATTAAAACCGAATTTATTAACCAAAATATTTATAATCAATGTCGGTTTGATTTATCGCCGTTGTATAAAATTTTACTATCCACCCGCGACTGAAAAGCGCTGTAAAATTTCGATGGGTTATTTTTTAATTGTCGCTCGGAAAACTGATCAGTTCAATCAAAAATTACTAATGAAATCTTGCAGGAATTATCTTGTTACTAATTACTCAAAGGAACTCTTTTAGTGAAATCTTGCATCAGGGGTTACCTATTTTTTGTTATACTGACTCAAAGTAGCTCTTTTAATGTATTGATATTTTTGATGTTTGTGGTGTTGCAGGTAGGTGTGAGCCAGCCGCAGGGATGCTAATAGCCTGCGCGGGCTGCGAGAAGCCGATCCTGGATAAGTTCCTTTTGAACGTGTTGGAGAGGACCTGGCACGCGGAGTGCGTGAGGTGCTTCGACTGTCACGCGCCCCTTACCGACAAATGTTTCTCCAGGGAGAGCAAATTGTTCTGCAGGAGTGATTTCTTTAGGTAAGTTTTTACCTACTTATTCTTTATTCCAAATTATAATTCATTCAGGTTCATAAAAGGGTTTAAAACATTTATGTTCAAAATTAAATTTGCCCATTAAAGTATCTCAAATTTTTTAGTATTTTTATAAGTAGGTACCTATACTTATTAGATACTTATTACAATTAAATCATACACATTTAATACAATAAAACTCTTCAAGATTCATCAAAATTTTCATGCACCACCAGTACAACTTTTATTTACAATTAGAATAAAAAACTCATTTCACCAACAAAACCTATAATAATCGTTATAAATTACATTTTCTCCCGATAACCGCGATAATAAATCAGATAATTCTTTACGTTTCTAGCCTGATAGTAAAACAAAATGTCCATTAATAAAAATTATAACGTGTTTTTTTTATCGCCTTAACATGTGTTTACGCGTCTAACGAATTCGTTGTCAATCAGTATCTATAATTAGAGAGAAAAAAAAACCGTTTCGATGGAAGTCATTTAAAGCGTTAAATAAAACGTGTTGTTTACACAAAAAAAATACTAAAATAAACAAATAATGGGACAAAATGAATAAGATATTTTTTTTTAATTTAATTGGTTTTACATCTAATTTACGTCGAATTACATGAATTATACAATCGTCTACCGGTTTATTATGAGGCAATTTTCGATGAATTAGAGATGAGTATAGTAATTAGTTCGATGATGGCGTTTTCTTTGCTCGATTATTTATTAATGTATGCAAATGGTGTAAATGTAATTATCGTGTCAGTTTGTATTATTAGCGAGATTTTTTAAAGCTCTTAATGAGTTGCGTATGTTTTGTAATTCGATGTAAGTGATACTTGATTATGATCTATTTTGTTTGACGATCATTATTCATTCTATAATTGATCGATAACATTGTTGTACAAATTTTTCTATATTAGAAATTGTTCAATATTTATTCTACATAGCGTCGAACGTGATTTATTTTTTAAACACCTATAACAAATCGTGCTCGAATTTATCTTTTCCATTAAAAAAATGCGAAAAACGCGTCTTGGCCGGCCTAAAACTGAAAATTCAATTAAACCGAGCGCCGTAAATTTTTTTTATTGGCTCGAAATTAATTTCTCATTGTTGCAAAAAACAATACGTCCTCGAGCGGATACGGCGATAACATTTTTATTTCGAAATTTTTCAATAAAATTCCACTCGCTCAAAGGAGCAGGATTTTCGCCTTTCAACCATAAACGCCTTTTTTGCGATAGAAAATTTACTACACGATTTTATGAAATCAATCGATAAAAACTCCTCCATTTTTCAAATTTCTACACACACCAATTCTTGGTATATTAAATATACTTTCTTTTATAAAATTTCATAAATACTCCGGATAAATCGATTTTAAAATTCGCCTGCCAAAATGCCCTTTACAGCGACAATTTCCTAGGGCGTAACCTCAAAGGGCATAGATAATCGTTATGCCAGCTAAACAAACGAAAACGAGCCGCCCCGGGACCGGTCCGATAAAGCGAGCCCTTCGGTATTCATAATGGGGGGCGGCTAAAACGCCGGCAATTACCATAAATAAATGAGAGTGCACTTCATAACGTGTATCTTCCCTCGCTTTTGATCGCGCACAACGTTCCTACTTGCCTGCCCTTTTCGCTAATCGACGATTAAAAACCACGAGGAAAAAATGTAGGGAGAATATAAGAAACTTTTATTCGAATCGGTGGCGCGAAATTTAATGAGAGTTTTAAGGTTTTTAAAGTTGTATGAAAGTTAATAAGGAAGTAACTTTTAAATAATATGTAGATTATAGGTAAAATCTCATTTTTAATAAAAAAATCGGATCATCCATAAAGTATTTACAGGGATCAACGTATATAAGGTGCATTTAATCTCCCATATTTTTTATGTATAGGATTTTTATAGAAAATGTAAATACTAAATGAATTCATTAAAAACTATAAGTGGAGATAAAAAAAATAATCTATATCTAAAGGACAGAATAAGAATAGGTGCAGGCAATCATAAATGATACATGATGGCCCTCTAAAAGTTTTATTCATGATTCCAATGAAGAGATTGAATAATTACTTATACAGTTTTATTTGGCATTTTGGTATATGTACCTAAATATCCACAATTCCTTATTTTATTTTGACCCCAACCTATAATATGGTAGCTATATATGTCCCACCTTTTTGTTACTCTCTATATAATTGTATACATATGAACAGTACGTCCCTGGAATTTCAATAGATTTCGGAACGAACCTTTTTGTTTTCTGCAAAGCGTATCCGACCCTAAAAACTGGCTTGTTATTCGAGCATTTGAGCTTGTTAAGTCGATAACGTGTGTGCTGAGACGGATTTTCATAATATATTGGCACTTCATTTCCCATAAACGATTTGTACAATACTCATATGTATCGACTGGCTCGAAACAACAAAGGACGAAAGAAACGCCGTGGAATTGAAAAAGAAAGAGCGGAAAAATAATAGGTGTCGGTCTTTACGACCGCTTGTAAGCTCGTTTCAAAAGCATTTTCGTTATTTTCTCATCGCTCGAGTATTGTCGAAAAATAATCTAATCGGTTTTTATGGGAAATTTTCGATGGGTTTTATTGATAAAAAAGAGTACGCTTTTATGCCATACTTATGCAAAAAGTCTCTTATTTTCTGCCATTATTATTATTACAGTGTATAGAAATTTGTAAGTTAGTTTTACAATAGTTGTATAAGAAATTTGCAGCAATCTTTAAACCCATCAGCTTTACCTATTTCGCATCTATACATCGTTTTTCGCGATATTATTACCTCGGTAATTTACAGCTTTCTTCATGACCACCTATATTCCGATTAGTTTCGCTTTTTTCCTCCCGCCGTGTTGAAACGAAGAAACTGGAATTCGGGTCGCTCGCGGATACGCCAATGCCGCCGTAACAGGACTCTCTACTGTAGGCCAGGACGAAAAAATCGGTTCGGCATCCGATCGTGACGAATCGGGCATTCCGTCGATTAGAAACGAGCGTAACGCGAACTTGATACCGATTTTTTTACGGCCGTTTCGACATGTTTTTTACGACCGACGAAACGAGACTATAATATATCGGGAACGACCTAACGAAATGTGCCCGAACGCACTGAGCACCGTGGCCAACACTAAAATTCAATCCGATATTGTATATACAGTGCCGCCCAAAAGTCTCCTGAATAGTTATTTCACTTGTAGGGATAGATATTAACTATATTATATTTTCCACTGCATGTAGTCGATTATATTAAGAACTATTTTATACCTCGATTTTGCAGGAATTCATAATTTTTCGACCAATCAAATAATGTAGTGTAAGTAATAGCGCACTTTAGGAGTGCACTGTATAAGGTTTTGTTCCAATAGCATGTTCCAAATAAACTGCTCCACAAAAGTTAAGGATGTTCGCAAAATTTGCGATTATTTTGAAAGTTACAGACTTTTTGATCGCCAAATTTTCAAATACGCGAAATTAAATGTTTTCTCTCATATCTGAGTGGATTTTTTACCCCTACATCTACAACTCACACTAAATTTTGCGATCAAAAAGCCTCCAACTTTTAAATTAATCTCAATATTTGTGAACTTCCTTAACTTTTGTGGAGCAGTATATGTTCTGAATTTGATTGAAGGCAACACTTGATTAGAACATGGATTATAATAATATTTGTACTATTTTATACCTCGATTTTGCAGGAATTGCACTTTTGGAGCGCACTGTAAAAGGTTTGTTCCAAATACGTTCTGAACTTGATTAGAACATGATTATAATATAGTAGTAAAATACTATAATGTTGGTATTCACAAATTTATTTAGTTTTTAAGAGACAAGAGCAACCAGCAAATTTACCCAATTTTTACAACATTTTACCAGTAAATGTTAAATCCAAATCTAGACATTACCTTACAATTAGTACGACCCTCGTATACATGCATTTGGAAAAAAAGAGCTGCATGGTAAGCAACTGACACATTTATCGGTTTGTTTTTGCCGACCGCGTTCGTTACGGTTCTTTCTTCTTCATCGTTTTTCCACATCTATATAATATACCGGGTGTACTTTTTTTCATTATATATTTTTTGTTGTTGTTTCTAGGCGGTACGGTACGAAGTGCGGCGGTTGCGGTCAGGGAATATCGCCGAGTGACTTAGTGAGAAAAGCCAGAGACAAAGTGTTCCATTTGAATTGCTTCACCTGCTTGGTGTGCAGGAAGCAGCTCTCCACCGGCGAGGAACTGTACGTGTTAGACGACAACAAATTCATCTGCAAGGATGATTATTTGAGCGGGAACAAAACGGCTGTTATTACATCACATCATCAAGGTAAGTCATTACATTATTTATTGTATATTAGTTACTGTATTACATCATCGTGCTTGCAAAATCCACAAGATTTACGCTTTAAAGATCATTTCCGATATGGGACAATCAATCTCTGCTGGGTTTATAAATTTCGAGACTATAAAATTTTCTTTTATAAAACTGATACAATTTTAAAAAAGAAAATAAAAATGTACCTACTTACATATATTTTTCGATCATTTCTACTTTAGTACGCCTCTGTATGTGACTTACACAGCTTAGAAAACGGGTGTCGAATTGATTGACACGCCGATTTGAGCTATTTGGAATCGATTTTGGGGTCATGTTTGTTGTTAAAACTTCCATTCTCTCTATTACTTGTACCTTAAATTTATTTCTTTTCGGTTACGTGTGATAAATACACGCGTAAAACGCGCCGGTTTGTTGTTTATGTTTAAAAGATATTATGTTAATTTCGCGTTATTTATGTGTTATTATTAAATTAATTTAAATTGAAATGAATTTCGGTTCGTCGGACGGATTAATCAAATTAAATGAATAAGTGATTATGTAGGAATTTAATTTAATGCAATGCTGATGGATTAACAGCATTTTTATTATATTTTAAATTTCGTTTAAGCTTATTTATTGGCTTTTAATTATTTCGCGTATCGGGTTAAAGATTTATTAAAGTTAATTTGGAGTGATAAATTATTTTGGTAAAAACTTTTTTTTACTTTACCTATATCTATCGCAGTTAAGGATAATATTTTTATAATCTTTGAACTGTCAAAACATGTTTTATCTAATAGAAAATACCAAATTGATGTAGATACTTTATTTATGTTTGTAGGTACACTGAACGAAAAAGTAGCCATTATACAATTAAAAAGTGGATTGAATCAATGATTCTGATTATCAAAACTCAGCCGATACGCAACGAGATTGAAGCAATCAGTTGCCTGTAATTGACTAATCACAAAGCATTGACACAATCACATAAATTTATTAATTTCTTTTATATATTGACATCAATTTTAATCTCTACAAACCGGTAAGTGATTAGTAATAGAGATAAATCTAATCAAATTGTTTATCAATTTAATCAGTATAAAATGATAAAATTGATCTCTGTAGGCCACTAAATGATCATCATTGATATCAGTCCAATCATAGTATTTTATAATTTAATGAGCATAAAGTAATGGAATTGATCATCGTTGGTATCAATCCAATCACTATGTTTATTAATTTAATTAGAATAAAATAATAAAACAAATCTCCGCGGACCACTATATAATCATCGATGGTATCAATGTAATCATTTTGTTCATTAAATTAATCATAATAAAAAATGCTAAAATTAATATTTGCTAACCACCACCCAATCATTATTGTAACTAAATTGAGGGTTATATACGCAGGCGCCGTACTGATAGAAACTTGTCTGTACTTGTCTGTATATACTTATCTATTCTAGTCTGTACTTGTCTGTTTTTGTCTATACTTGTCTGTATGTACTATAATGGTAGTTCTTTGATATGTGTTAATATTGTAATTGTGCAATGCTGATATCAAAATATGATAAATAAATATGTTAATTATGGCGTATGTGGTGACATCTATCAGTTATCAGTTCATCAGTTACCTATCTCATATTAACTAAGCACTCCCTATTTTTTGAGATGCGAGCTGCCCCTGTAACATTTTCATTAATATTTGTGATTGAATCAGTAGCTTATTATATTAATAAAATCCAGTATCTGCTAGTATTAAACAATCAAAATCAACAATTCAATCCACATTTTCTATTTAAGGACGATTGTTATTTAATATTCATCGTGGAATATGATAGACTTACCTTATTCACAATATTAGCTCTCTGTTCTACTTCGTAATAAATAGATATCCATTAGCTTGTTAGAACAAATTTTAGGAGATATCTGTTTTATTAGACAAGCTTTATTAGGACAGGTTTAAAGACAGGAAAATGATTAATGCAAAATACAAAAAAAACTATATAATAACTATATATAATAACTATATATAATAACTATATAATAAATTATCAATAAGTACGTAGTTTAAAATTGTATTATTAAGTTATACCAAACGAAATCCAGAAGGTTGTCGGTAGAAAGGCCATGCGTCCAGTACAGCAGTTGTTGTTTCCAGGGTTATAATTTGCTGCAACCTGAAATTGCTGCAGGCTTTCCACACACTGTCAAATTCGTCAGAAGATAAATGACTATATTTTAAAGTGCTTATGCAGGTTTCAGCATCCTGCTCTGGTTCTAAAATTAACACATTATATGTATAAGAAAAACGGATACTAAGAAATTTCATTTATTACCACCAATTTCTTCCTGATAGCGTTGTACTTTATGTCCTTTAATTGGTTTTGGTTTTATTTCAGTCATCGTACATTTAAAATGTGAGTTTAAATTACGCCATTTGTTATATATTTTACCACGTTTGGTTGTTCTGTAATAATCCTAAAAAAGAAATAGTTGTTAAATAATAAGGGCATGACAGTAGGTAAAAAAGGTACCAAAATTAGCAAAAATATGTAAATAGTAAACTTACAAGTTTCTCAGTCGGGAATTTTTCGATAATGTCCCTCTCTATCGCAAAGCTGGCTGCTAAAGACATGGTAATGCCCTTATCTTCAAAATAATGAGCTACCACATTTATTAAAGAGTTTCTTTGTTCTTCTTTAAATATTTGGAACTTATTATAGTATTCTACTAATACTTTAGCCTTTGCCGATTCATTAAGAATATCGGACAATAGTACACGTATTGGTTCAGAATCTGGTGTTGAACATCTTGATGGGTAAGGCGAAACTCGAGATGACTCTGACAACTGACGCGATGTGGACCTTTCAGGGCCAGCTAACAGGATTCCATCCTGTTTTTAATTCTGTTTCTGTTTCGCTAATGAATTTTGTATTGGCTATCTCGTAGCGAGATTGCTCCGCGCTCGATCTAACACTCTGTATACTTAATTGCTGTGTAGAAGCTGAGTTCAAAACTATGCTCTATATGTGTTTAATTAGGGTAAAACTATTTACCCTATATTAAGGGATTAAACAGTCACAGAAGCTCGAAACTCGAAAAGAATTCTGCCAGGTTATTGAAAAAAGATTTCGACTTACCTGAAAATTAGTCATTAATGCCACTTGAAATATTTTAGATAGTCCAAACACAAGCACAAATTCAATAATAGATTAATAGGCTAACCGACAACGTGACCGGCAAACGGCTTCTGTAAAATCAACTATAATGTAATAACGGCCGCTGGCCGCCTCCCCAGCCCCAGAGACAAAATAGTTGACCTTCACGTCTTCGCGGGATAATAAGGTGTTGCCAATTTTAATTTCTAATTAGGAAACAACTAATGCGAATGGTATAACGGGAGCGCAAACAGCGCTGCTGATACAAACATGTCTCAGAATTTTTTGGGAGAGCCGACAACAATAGTTGGAAGACTTTTCATTTCAATTAGCCGGGTGATTGATATTTTGACTATTTTATGATGAAACGCGCGGGAAACGAAGCTATTGGAAACGGCATCAAATAATATTATACTTCAAAGACTTCATTTCAATTAGCCGGGTGATTGAAATTTTGACTATTTTGAGAAACGCACGGGAAACGGCATATTTTAATCACATTAGTAATTGTTCGGATTACACCGGCATTTAAAATTCATTTTTTTGATTAATTCCAAAAATTAAAAAAATATTTTATATTTGTATATTTGATATTTTCTAAATATAGTAGGTATAGGTATGTATATTGCAGGGCTCTGAAATCACGCCTTGTCTTAAATCAGTCCTTGTAAAATGGGTCCTACCAACTATTTCAAGCTGGTATATTTTCAAGCTGGCAATCGCTACGAATCTGCACAGTCGAGTCGATTTTTTTGGAAATTTAGAATTCAATTCAGTCATTCAGTGTTTCCGAATTCAACTCGTTATTGCTCGACCTGCATATACTCTCAAAGCGCTGATTTAAGGCAGGGCGCAATTTCAGAGCCATGCATTGTACTTACTTTACATGCACTATCTAAGACAGTCAATTGAATCAATCATTCAAAGTAATTGTCGTTACTATTTTGAGTATTATTATAGTATGTGATGAAAATTAACATTATTTCAATCTAACAAGTAATTGGTATGATCACTTTGAAATTGGATTTTGTTTCAATTGTGTTATTTTTCAATCACATTATTATCAATATAATGCCTAGATGTAATTAAGTCATTCTTTGGAGGTTGATTATCAAAAACATTAATACAATCTTTAAAATCCTTATTACAATTATAAAATTATTACAATAATCTCTATAATCATTAATAACAGTACGCTCAAGTGATTAATACAATCATCGTTGCATTTATAACAATGCTTGGAAAATAATTGACGCGATGCCCAGTTTGATTAAATAGATCAAATTTGTAATTAAAATCAATCTTTTCTGGTTAATCACACCTGGTGATTCATATTACGAACAATAATTTTTTCAGTGTATAGATAGGTACTTGAAAAGAAAGTTTATGCATCTTATATTAACTTTATTAAAATATCTATAAATGCCTTCAATATCCTTCATAATCGTTAAAGAGCCCTAGTTAACAAAAAACTAGTACAACTGAGCAAAAGATTAATAATAACTCTGTAAAGGTATACTGTATCTATATCCTATACACATCCTTTATATCTACTCTAAAAACCGGAGGAAATAAAACAAAACGAAGAAATAATTGCCCATCGATCCATGTATAGGTACGCAATATACACCATCGACAAAAGCAATTTCCAGTTTATATCTGATGGATCTTCTGATTGGTACCTATTTCCACCAGGTGTTCGTGATTGAATCTCGCAGGTCTCGAGCGTTAGTGGAATTGAACTGAATTAGTCCGATCGTTCGATTAAATATTAATGTATTCATTCATCTATTGATCTTTATTTATTTATCTACTTAATAAATATACCTATAGCTCTATTGATTTA